GATTAAGGCAATGAATGAAGCTTCTTCCTTTGACCAAAGTTCTACTTGTTCCTCTTGTGAGTCTTTAAAAATAGATAATGTAGAACTTAAGAGCACCATAGAAAAACGTAAGGAAGAAGATCCTAAGAAACTTGGTGAAGAAGTTAAGAATGATAAACCACCTAGAAGAACAAATAATCCTAGGAATAACAAAATTAATTTTAGAAAGAATAAAAAATAATAAGTTGAGACAACCTAGAAATCACTCTAAGATTTTTATAAATGATAGGAATAATTTGAGACAACCTAGAAATGAGTCTAGAATTTAGTTAATAATTCTAGGAATAATGATTTTAGATCACCTAGAAATTTTTTGGCTCAATCTAGGCATATGCATAATCCAAATGTAGTTTGCCATTATTGCTCTAAGATAGGACACATAGCACCCGTTTGTTTTACCAAACATAAGGATTTGTTTTATAGCTATGATTATTATTTGCCTAACCCTCAAGGACCCAAAAGCTATTGGGTACCTAAACGTTATTACTAGATGCACAAAAGGGTGTTCTTGAAGACTACAAAATTGTAGTGGATGCTTCAAGCACGAAACCCAATGAACCGCATCAAGGGGAAGTTCGTTTTACGTTACTACATTTTTTTTTACAATTGATGCCATATTCTATTTTAAACAATAGGATTATTTTTAACTCAAAAGGACCCAAAAAGACACTGGGTACCTAAAATCATTCTTTGAAGGAACCCCAACACATTAGATGATGCACAAATGTAGGGGGAACCAAAAGTAAGCGAGTTTGGGTGGAAGACATCCGAACAAAGATGTTGCAATAGAAACATCAATGTTCCAAAGCTCCAAGGCTAATGAAAATCACTCCAGGACATTTTCAAACATCGATGTTCAGTATCAAACATCGATGTTCAAAGAGTATATTCTTACAATATTTTTTAAGTGATTTTTGCTAATGCCAAAAGGGGGGGTATTTGGGTATATGCAACAAGTGAGGGGGAATCTTATTTTCAAAGACGTAGGGGGAATCACCATTACTCGCTCTTTGAAAACCCAACTTGGCCTGCATATCCCCGCCTTGGTTTGTCATTATCAAAAAGGGAGAAATTGTTGGAAAACATTTTCACTTTGACATTTTGCTAATGATAATGTTTGTTTCCGTTTAGGTTTTGATATTGACAAACCGTCGGGAACATGGAACAAAATGAAAAGATTCAAAGAGATAGAAAAAGTTCTTTGAAGAAACAAAAATCACAAGAAAGGCATTGAAGTTGCTAAAGATGGCGACATTGGCGCTTTGAAGAGGTTTTCTAAAGACTTAGTTTTTATTGTAACAAGCTCATTCAATTTCTCTACGTTATGGCTCAAAACAAAATATGTTTTTCATGCATCAAATGAGTGTTTTCATAAATGGTTTTCATAGTTCGGCTATGGCGTTCGGTTTTCGGGATTGGTTATTGGCATTGATTTTAACCAAATGGTTTTTAATTTTATCTTTGGTTTATGCTTCTGGACACATTTAAATGTTTTCCAAATGATTAGTTTTCAAAAACCATAACCACTGTTTTTCGGCGTTGGTAATCGGCATTCAGTGCTGGTTATCGGCGTTGGTTTTTGGCTCCCAAATCAATCAAGTAGTTTTTAATATTTTATTATTGGTTTTTACTTCTGGGCATATCCAAATAGTTCTCCAAAAAAAAATGTTAAAAACCACCTTTCGTTTTTGGTCTTTTGGTGAAAACCATGTGAAACGACAAAAACTTAGCTACCCGTGATTTTTACCTTAATGAAGTGGTTTTTAGGTTTTCAACTTGGTTTCTACATAAAATACATTGTATAAGAGTTTCCAACACTTGGTTTTCATTTTGGAGAACTTTGGTTTTTGACATCGGTTTTCGGCGTTGGCAGCCAACATGCATGTAAGACTTCCCAATAGTGATGTTGGCATTCAGAAGTCCTGGGCAGTAGGTTTTTGAACAACGATGTTCATTGTTGAACAGTGATATTTGTAGTAAATGACCGTTGGGCTATTTAAGACAAAATCTTTCCATGTTTGAAAGTCAAACACCCCAACATCAATGTAGACTTCTAGACATCGATGTTTTGATGACCGTTAGCCATTTTTAAAGGAAAGTCAAAGCCAAAACAGCGATGTTCACTATATGAACAACGATGTTAGGCTAAAATTCTGTAGACCAACTTTGATTTGATTTCCACAAATCATTCCATTAAACCCCAATCAACTCCCAACCGTTACACATCATTTTTGGGTATAAATAGGGGTCTTTTGGGTCTACTCTTCACAACCATTTCACACACATTTCATAGCTTCACATTGCATCATTTCATAAACTTTTTACATAGCTTTTTAGAGCCATTTCTTGAGGAATTGAGTGTGTTCTTGATCTAAATTAGCTTACTCATATTCTACTCTTTAAGAGAGTTTTTGTTTTTGAGTGGTTAAGTGTTGTGAACACTTTAAGGGAGGTTTGTTCCCTTGGTTGTGCGAAGGAAGGGCATATTCCTTCGGGCTGAAGTCTTGGAGTGTGGTATCTCCGAGCAAGTGTATTGAGGCTCGTGGGACTCGAGTTCTCAAGTTGTAACGATTTGTTAAGCACCCATAAGCTTAACGGAAGTAGTATAGCTCGAGAGAGTCTCAAGGGAGGCTGGACTAGCCACACGTTGTGGTGAACCAGGGTAAAATCGGTGTGTTCTTTCCTTACGTTTTTTTATTCCTCTCTTTACTTTATCCCTGCGATTTTTATTCCGCGAAAATTTATAAACATTCTCGTGCCTTACTATTCACCCCCCCCCCCCCTCTAGTGAAGGACACTTAGTCTAACAATTGGTATCAAAGACTAACTCTCTAAAAGCCTTAACGGGTTGAGAGAACGGTCTATATTTCTTTTGAGGATGTTGAGTGTAGGATCTTTTAGCGAAGCACACTCTTTAACAAGGCCACCACTCCTTAATGGAGTAAATTACACTTATTGGAAAGAAAGAATGAGAATCTTCATTCAATCCGTTGATTATACACTATGGATGGCAATCAACAACGGAGTTTCTCTCCCACTATGGAGGGCACTTATTCTAACACATTGTTCATCTTCTTCAACCTTCGGTTACAATTTCGAAAATATCATTTTTAGTTTCCAAATTTCAACGAAACTATATAGAGATGTTCTCCAAGGTTCATAGATCATTTTGGCATTATTAATTCATAGTTTTAACATGAATTCCATGGTTTATGATTCTTTGTTCTTCAAGCATGTCAAACACAAAACTCAACCAAATGACCGTTTATGAACGTAGAAACGATCTATACGAACATTCTAGTCACTAGATATATCTACGGGCTTACCTTGAATCTTAACAAAGGTTTTGGAAATTTTCCGATAAACTTCTGGCGACGATTTCTCCCAACTCCGGCGACTTCGGCGACCATCAACTATTGCAGCATGTTCTCCTCACTCTCAGGAGCACATTTGTACTAAACTCATAATTTTTGGTGAGGAATGAGAAGGTTGATGATACTCTTATATAGGGAAGGGAAGGAGAAGGAGACGCAGTTGCTGAGTCATTGACGATTCACGATAGGCTTAGTACGCTGGGAGGCGCCATTCGCACAGTGTCCCTGATTGGGAGCAATTTTGGTTCAAGTCGGGGTACACTTTTTGGTCCAACTTTCTCCAAATTGAAATCTGTTTGCACCGTTGCGATCGTGCAGTTAAACTCTATCCAACAATATAATTTTCATATTTATTTTTAATACTTTTTCCAACATCATATTTTTGGATGTTTGACTTTGATAGAGTCAAAATTGGTTTAATTGACCTTTACTCAGAAAAGTTCTCATATTCCCCTCATATTATTTATTCTCATGATTAAATTATTTCAAAGTTCACATCATAAACACATTATTCATTTATTCTTGATTTTGGGTCTGTACTCAGGTTCAATCAAGATTATACAATTAGTCAGCATATTGGATTTATCTCTATGAGACTTATCCAGATTTTGATATTAAATATTAAAACACATTTTATTTCGGCCCAAATCCCAATCACATTTTATTTTATTCAAAAAAATTTGATTAATCGAATAATTATTCATTAATAATTCCAGGGTATGTTTTGAGGCATTACATTTCTCCCCCCTTAAAAGAATTTCTTCCTCGAAATTCTTCTAAGGTCAAATGTTCAACATTTCATAGTGATCTCACTTAATCATGACCATGTCATGTCCATTTGGTTAAACCATATTTACGTCATTATCCATAAGGATACGAAATCTCAAACATTCGGTGTTATCAAACTCGTTCTTTCTTCAAAAGGTTAACAATGTTAGATTAAACTAAGTATCCAACGATCCTTTTTGCAAGTTCCTGTTCCGATTCAACGTCCATAACCAAGATTCCTTTGCAAGGCATAACATCGTATTTTGAAGCATACTGGACATATTTGCATATAAATTTGTTCAGTCACGAGTCTCGTTTGTACGTCATTAGTAAACAGAATCCTTTTCTCGATTTGAACAGTTATTCAACACCCTTCGTGGAAGGTTCACGATAGGTATAGTTGAAAATTTGGAAGGTATATCAATTCATACGTCGTAAGCTTTCAAGTTACTTAAATAGTCGTTGTCTTAAGGCATTAGACATTTTGACTTTTCGTCTCACATTTGAATGTATTTCAAGACAGCGAATCTAACTGTTCATGAGTCTCAATATGTCATATCGTAAGAAGACTATAGCATTAACAAGCACGTCCTTGTGTGTAGGTAAATCAAATCCATCTTTGTTGTACAAATTTCGACGGAGGATAATTCTCTTTTTTCTCAAAGGTTAGTATTAGCCTTGGTTTGCTAAGTCTCATGTTTTGATGTTAACAAACAATATAAGAGCTTAACGTTTGTTTAAGTGTTTCAGGAAAACAAGAATCCATTAAGATTCGGTACTCAAGAATGAAGTCGAAACACTAAAACTAGCGTAGAATATAGGTAGAAACCAATGTAAGGATATGACTTTATATACCTATATTCACAAGCTCAAAAGCACTCACAAAATATGTTTAAAACCATCCCATAAACATTTTCAAATATCCAAAAGGTTTTAAACTCAAACACGAAGGATTACGGGAATTTTGGAAAAATCAGGACAGTGGCACGGTACCCCCAGACGGTAGGGTATACCGCCTACACGGTACCCCTATACCGTGAGACGGTACCCAGGTACCGTACGGTAGGCCGGAACGGATGGCCACACCCGTCCTAACCAGGTGCCGCCAGAATCGAATGGAGATTTTGTGCTACACGGTACCGAGGTACCGCCACTCACGGTACCCCCTACCGTACGCACGGTACCATGCTACCGTGTGGACGGCACCTGCCGACCGGATCCGTTACAGCACTGTAGCAAAATTGCGAATTTGAATTAAATCAACCCTAATCACCTCCCAACGGCTAACTAACATCTTCCACTATAAATACAAGCCTAATCCTTCATATTTCTTCAAGAAAAAAAGCTCTAAACATC